GGGTTGGTGTAGGGCAATAGAATATACGGTCTGTACAGTATAAAAACCATTACGCCTATGGAGAGTCCCCACAAGGATAGCAAACCAGACGTGTGTGTGTGTGTGTGTGTGTGTGACGAGTTCTGGTAATTCCTGAGGAGAACACAGTTGCAGTTTGAGTTATATGTGGCACAGGGAGAGGCTGATGAGGAGGAAGTGAAAGCTCAAGTGTTTGTAATGCCGTCAGTCTTGTGGTTCTCATCGGCCCGTGTTGTTGTTGTTGTGTTCTCTCAGCTGTGGGTCGGGATGCCTGCGTGGTATGTAGCGGCGTGCCGTGCTAATGTGAAGAGCGGAGCCATCATGTCTGCTCTGTCCGACACGGAGATCCAGCGCGAGATCGGCATCAGCAACCCTCTTCACCGCCTCAAACTACGCCTCGCTATTCAGGAGATCATGTCTCTCACCAGCCCTTCGGCGCCAACTACCTCCAGAACGGTAGGAAACACACGATCCATTAAAGAACACTCTAATATATCAGCGCTCGGTTCCTGGAGGTTTTGTTCTCAGATCAGTCTAATAGAAACTGAAGCAGGCTAATGCCGTGTGTAGAGCTGCGTGATCAATCCACATCATGACATCACTCAGCGATGATCAGATCGTAAAGGCTGTGATGTAGTGTTCACAGTAAATCATGCATCTGCTCGGAGTTTGAGTCGCTTTCACATGCATTTTGGGAACTCATCATGAACCAACCATCTTCACAAACGTTTATCAACAAAAGAGAAGATTCAAAGGCTTCCTGCAGTTTTCCATCAAAACAAAAGTTTGATAAATTTAATTAAGACCGCAATAAATATTAGTATTATAATTTTACACTAGTCATTTTTTTTTGTTGTTGCTATTTTATAGTGAAATATTTTGAATATTTCTTATTTTGTTTCTGTGCAGTAATTGGTGTAGTTTTATTTAGTAGTAGTAATAATAATAATAATTATTAATAGCATCATTATTACTATAATTTATAGCCATATTGATACATGATAACAAAATTTTGGCCAAATTTCCAGCCCTATAAACAACCACAACAAACCTGGAATTTTTAAATCACGTTTTAAATCAAATGTTTTGTCAGATCATCTGAGGGTTATTTGTGATTCATTAGTTCAGGCGTCTCGGTGGGAAATCCTCAGGTTTCTGGCCTGAAACAGTTATTGGTAAACAGCAGAAGCATGGTAAAGCTTGTGCTGCTCCGGTTGGTTTTTACCGTAGTACGTGTCTGTTCTCTCGCACGCCTCACTCATTAACCCCTGATGGGATGTTTGTGATCGCTTTACTAATGTTCCCGCAGCTCAGTAACAGACTCCTCTGCTCTCCTAATGTCTTCTTTCACTCCGTCTTTCCTCACTCACGGATTTCTGTAGTCTTCTGGAAATGTCTGGCTCACACACGAGGAGATGGAGAGTTTGGCCGCCACGCCGCTCACGGTCAGTCACTGTCAGCGTCACGCTAATGCTAACGCTAATGCGTGTTTGTGCTTCGCTGCTCGCTGTAGTCGTTTTACTGTCACGTTATGATCTTATTCCACTACTGACTCCCCTCTCGCTCCACATGCTAACCTGCTAACACCAGGAGGATGAGGAGGGCAGCTGGGCCCAGGTTTGAACCTCAGTCTTTCTCTTCTGATGTCTGGAGAACAGACACCTCATGAACCTGTCAGGAACACATTCAGCTCACATTTCACTTCATATCACCAGTGTTTAGTTTTGGGGAAAGGCATCCCATTAAGATGTTTGGCTGGAAACCCAATGGTTTTCTTGAGTCTGTTTGAGACTGTGACCTGGACGTGTCTGTTTTGATGGGTTCGTGAGGTCCACTGCAGTTCTTCATCATGTTAGGCAGCGTCTGCTGGTCTTTATCTTTGACGCCATTCGTTCAGACCCCTGTGTGTTTCTGATCACGCTGAGAACAGCAACAGGTTTCATCTTAAGAGCTAATGTGTTTGTGATCAGTGACTCCTCTTCTGTATGAACTCAGCGCTGTGGTGGTGGTGGTTTTCTCTTATGTTTTTAGGCGAGTAGTGTTCTGACTGAATGCGTGTTGTTCACACTCAGACTCTGGCGTATGGGGACATGAACCACGAGTGGATCGGTAACGACTGGCTGCCGGGCCTCGGTCTGCCTCAGTACCGCAGCTACTTCATGGAGTCTCTGGTGGACGCTCGTATGCTGGATCATCTGACCAAAAAAGACCTGCGCAGTCAGCTCAAAGTAGTGGACAGCTTCCACAGGTCAGTCACCGTATGTGTGTCTTGACTAAACGGAGACACTGACCACAGGCTGGCTTCCAGTCAGAGTTATAAGCCATGAACCGGCCGGCCTGTTTAATCTGAAGGTGCACTTAATGTACATTAGGAGTGTTGAAATTAATGTGGATGATTCTGCATCGATGCAGTAATAGACCGTAATCGATTATAGCCTACTGACGGCATTCACATACGCGCTTGTCACGTGAGTATTAAAAAACATGCACCCACTATTTTTAAATTCGAGATCTGGGCACATTTTTGGAAAAACCAAGCTTATATAGTGGCAGGTGTGTGCGCTGGAGAGAATCGTAGCGGGCTTCGTTGCACAGAATATGAGCTGTGAGATCCAAAATACAGCAAAAGCTGTAATATAACTGCTTTGAATAAATTCCTGTGATCAAAGCTGAATTTTCACTGTGCTGAATGCTCACTTTTTTATTTCATTTATTTCACAAAAAGGGATAGTGTACATTAATTAACATTCATGAAAGTAAATATTCTCAAATTTGCCCGAAGGCTAGTTTTCGTGGGTAGTCCCTTTGCCAGATGTTATTAGGCCAGAAAACTAGAGAAATAAAAGAAAAACAATAACAGCAAAATACAACCAAAAATTCTAAACAACTCTCTAAAATACAATTAAACAACAGGTTATACAAAATGATAATAATAAATAATAATAAAAAGTAAATATAAAAAGCAGCTTATCAATAGATAAACAACATTAATGTTCACATTGTTGATTATGAAGAAGCCATTTCTTAAAATGATGCTTAAATGAGTTAAATGATCTCCATTCTCTAATTGATTGTGGTATGAATGCTCTGAGCTTTGACCAAACGATGTGGAACGATGCAGTGTCTGTGTCTGTCTCGCTCTGCAGGAACAGTTTTCAGTGCGGCGTGATGTGTTTGAGACGACTGAACTACGACAGGAAAGAGCTGGAGCGGAGGCGTGAGTCCCAGGCGGAGGTCAAAGGTGAGCGTGCTGGTCTGTGTCTCTGTGCTGCGTGTGAGTGTGTGCTGACGCTGCTGCCGCTGCAGATGTGCTGGTGTGGACGAACGAGCGCGTGCTCGGCTGGGTCCAGGCCATCGGGCTGAAGGAGTATGCTGGGAATCTTCTGGAGAGCGGCGTTCACGGAGCGCTCCTCGCTTTAGACGAGTCCTTCGACCACAACGCCTTGGCGCTGCTGCTGCAGATCCCTACACAGTGCACACAGGTGAGACTCTAACGGTCAGACCTGCGCTTCATCTGATCTCAGACCAGCGACTGCGGGGCCATAGGATTCAGAACGTTTCATCTGGTTTGGAAATCCAGAATTAGCTAATTCATGTTACATTTGTGCTGTTTTCAAAGTAGCATTGGATTGCATCAACCTGCTCCAGATACACACTAGACTCCAGATGACCAAATCCACGTCTTCACTGCTCTAAATAGGACTGCAGTCACAGTGTAGGTTACTAGCTGTGTGAAGAACAACAGGCAGAACAGTCAGCAATGGCTCACTTTAGTCATTTTTATTTGAAGAGACCGAAAACGGCACAATAAAACAATACAAACATTTCCTTTTAAACATTCAGACCCTCATCTGACCCACAACAAATCAATAAACATATGTGACTCTGCAGCACAAAAGCAGTGTTAAGTCGCTGGGGTATATTTGTAGCAATAGCCAACAATACATTGTATGGGTCAAAATTATAGATTTTTCTTTTATGACAAAAATCATTAGGATATTAAGTAAAGATCATGTTCCATGAAGATATTTTGTAAACTTCCTACCGTAAATATATCAAAACTTAATTTTTGATTAGTAATATGCATTGCTAAGAACTTCATTTGAACAACTTTAAAGATGATTTTCTCAATATTTAGATTTTTTTGCAACCTCAGATTCCAGATTTTCAAATAGTTGTCTCAGCCAAATATTGCCCTATCCTAACAAACCATACATCAATGGAAAGCTTATTTATCCAGCTTTCAGATGATGCATAAATCTCAATTTCACAAAATTAAGTGTATGACTGGTTTTGTGCTCCAGGGTCTCAAATATGCATTATTAAGGAATGCAATTGTTAGAAACTATTCGATTGAATGTGTCGTCGTAATTTATATACAGTGATTAAAAAAGTTAAAATTAAGTATATTATTAATAGTTGTTTGGGGGATTATTTTTCTATACTGTACTGAAAGGCTTCTTTGATAACTACTATTTTATCACTGTAATTTTAAACAAACAAGTGTTATCAATTATTTGATCAGTTTTAAATTTCTATTACACTTTAGTTCCTGAATGCAGCCTTCTGCTGGGATCTGCTGGGATCAGGATAATCCTGATATTTGGGATCAAGTGGATCCCAGTCCTGCTACAGTGTTTTGAGCAGCGCATGCTGAAAGTTGCTCCGATCAAAAGCTAGACTGGATTATATGATCGAATCTGATCTCAGAATCCTTTTTTTCTTCTTTTGAACAAGCTGTTCATCATTTGATCCGGTCAGGTTTGTTTTAACAGCGGAGCCCTGTGTTTGAATCGGTGTGATCTCACTGATTTGTTCTGTTGTGTGCAGTGCAGTAAGTCCTGTCCACGTGTTGTGGTCAGTATGTTATTTTTAGGGATGCATCTGCCACCATATCTGTATCGGCCCACAAGTGTTCAGTTTTACTGTTATCGGTATCGGCCCGATAAGAAAATTTGGCCGATATCTTAAAGCCGATAAATAATGCATTGTTTCCTTCAGAGACACTTCAGATGTGCACTGTTCACCGTGATGGTTTTAAAATGCTTGAAATATGATTGGAATCACTTTGAAAAGGACAATACACTTAAGTGCAACATGTGCAGGCCAAGTCTGTTATAAAGGCTACATAAAATTCTAATGTGAACATTACTGTAAATAATGTTGTGGAATGTTTGTGCGCCCGTGAGCTACACCTCCATGACCGTTAAGTTCGCTTGTGCAGCCTTTTGTGCAATTGTACGTTGTAATATTGTTTATGTATATCTGATTTATCTCGTGTATATATATATATATATATAATGCGTTTGGTTAAGTTAATAAAGCGCTTCAGTTTACCGGTGATAGGAGAGTAAAATTATTCTGTTCACTGTTCACACTAGGCTGATTATGCTGACGTGTTTGGGGCGTGGCTTTTAATAAGACCTTTTTTGTAATCAGGCTTTTAAAAATTAGATAAAAAATTGGATATAGATTTATTGGCCAACATATCGGTTATTGGCTTTCAAATATAAAGTATTATCGGTTATCGGTGTCAGTCAAAATGTTGATATGGGTGCATCCATAGTTCTGTTGTGCAGAGCTGTGGTCAGATGTGTGCTGTGTGTGCAGGCGAGAGCGGTGCTGGAGCACGAGTACAGCCGTCTGTTAGCCGCGGGAACAGAGAGGACACTCGAGGAGGTGAGTTCAGTCCGCTCCTTCGGTCCTCAGTCGTATGGCATCCGAGCGCTTCACAGCACAGCAGTGTCTCCGCAGGATGACGACAAGAACTTCCGCCGCGCACCGTCCTGGAGGAAGAAGTTCCGGCCCAAAGACGTGCGCTCTGCCGACACACTGCCAGCCAGCTTCAGAGTGAGCACTGCAGACGCACTGACCAAGAAACCACAGCTGGACGGTACGAGAGTGTGTGTGTGTGTCTGTGTCTGTGTCTGTGTCTGTGTGTGTGTCACTAATGTTTGTGTGTGTGTGTGTGTGTCACTAATGTGCGCGTTTTTGTGACAAATGAGGACATAAATTTATATAATGACAAGGGTATGACATAGGTATTACAAGGAGAAGGTGACTTTTCAGGACATTACCCCATGTCCCCACTTTTCAAAACGCATATAAATCACAC